GACATCTCCACAAATTTGAAAGCAATCTGGCTCTTGCCAGCCCCACCAAGACCATACAAGAAAAATATGTGACACCGCCCCACATCCATATTGAAATATTCCTTCATTTTTTCGAGAATATCTTGATGACCAGTGAAGCGGAAAGTTGCCATCGGGCAAACTCTCAAATAAACCGGTGGTTCCAAGACTGGAACTGCAGGATCTAATAATGATCAGGATTGAATAGTCAGAGCATGCCAAATTATCTAAACTTACTTAAGATCACCTTGACCGCTTCAGTGAGTTTGGATTTTGTATCTACCATGCTCAGATAAGCATTTGTGTGAGCCGACACTTCACTTGATTTTTCCCATTGTTGGGCCTCGAAGCCCTGCAGGCCTTGCTGAACATTAAAGCGAAAATAAATATTGGGATTACTCCGAAATTTACGGGTGTGCTCTTCATGTGTCCTTTCGCAGTCAGTTGCAATCATCTTGAAGGCCTTTGTGATGGCACTGGAACTCAGTGGTTGTGGAATGTGAATTGTGTCTGGATGTCCGGCGCCAATGCTAGATACGAGCACCACGGGACAGGAGGGGTACATCTGTTTCGCTTCCTCGAGTACCAAGGAAGTTGGATTGTTGTTGCCAATGGAGCCGGCAACATACTGCTCCTGAATCCCTGAAAGTCCAATCGTCATGGGTTTGAACAATCCTGGAGTCGCAGAGGTGGCTCAGGCTGCCTCCCATATCAGGCAATCATTTGCTGGTTCATCTGGAGTGTCATAGGAGCGAAAGAGCGTCGGTATGCAGTGTTGGCATTGACCGGGTCAGACCTTTTTTGACCAAAGGTCTTGACCTTTGATGATCGTCTGATGAAACGGTCAATTCATTTGACCGTTTTTGATTTCTGACCATCCCACGGCGATTTTGAGCTGGAGAAATGTTGAATAATTGTTTTCGGTTGGTACAAAGCTCTACCAAGGTCGTTTGGGGTGTCTTTGAGCTCACTTGTCGCCGTATCGTCAGATTGCATTTTCTATAGCAGTAAATCCGACTGCTTTTCAAAATTGACACTGGGGACCGATTAAATTAGGCCCGAACCATTCATAACATCAACTTATAGTTGGGGAAGGCCTACTAGCATCGCATGTGCCCCTTCGCAGCCATGGTCCAAGGAGTTTTCCAAATTTGGTAAGGGTCAGGCCACGGGGTCAAGCCCGGTCAGACCCGGTCAAACAGCCGTCAACGTCAATTTCGTCAGGCCGTTTTCACCCTTGGCGTGGCCTCTGCCAACACTGTTAAAGATTGCTTCTACAGCAAGAATCACAGCACATTTAAAATGGGAAAGACGGAAGTTTGACTACACTGCATTCTGAGGCCCCGTAGGTACGGTCGGTTTACCTGAGTCTACGTCGGTCTACATCGGCCTACCCCAGTACGCCAAGTCTGCCGACGTGATGTAGACCAAATTGGGCCTACTTGGGTCTACCCACTGCCTACTGTTGGTCTACTCAGGCCCCCCTATCCTGGTAATCGTGCGTCATGTTGCTGTTGCCACATTCCCACTTGGCTAATATTGCTCTTACCGGTTGCCATGTTCGCATGAAGTCAATATTTATTTATTGGTTAACAACCGGGACATACCGTGTCAGTTTCCGTAAGTTAGCCGAGGTTGGCCATGAGTCAGCCGAGGATTGACAGCCGTGGGCTGTGTCATGAAAAATAATCACATTCCCACATTCAGTGGTTACACAGTGAAGCAAGAGTGTGTTTTAACACAGCTTGGACCAGAAACAGAGCTCGGGATATAGCAAATTGGTGATTTATCTATGAGGTGGGTCTACCTCTGCCTACAAGGGTAGGCAGAGCCTGTGCCTACAACCCCACGGAATGCAGTGACTGGGACCAGCTACTTAACATATATTTTCCTTGGAGAACATTTATTTTTTTCATTCAATTCGGCGGTCACACAGGGGTTCTGTCGAAGCCGAACTTTGTCACGTGTCACAGAAGTGGTTGCTGAATTGGTTCCATGGTTCGGAAAACGGGGGGAAATCCTTCTTAATGTCCAAAATGACCAGGGAAAATTCCGGGAATCTCCTGCATCCTGGAAGGTAATATCCCATGCCTTGACTGAATTTCTACCCTCATCTCAGCCAAACTCAACACAAACCAATCGGGGTAAGTATTTCCGGCCGAATAACTTAATTTGGCATCTGCCCAGCTCTAGATGTTCCTGAAAATATCCCAGATTAGTTTTAAACATCCTTGCATGCCACTGGAACGGTGTCGAAATTTTGGTCCATGTCATGGTCTGAATCGACCGGGGTCGAAGTGTCGAATTGGTTCAAGGAGTCACACGTCACACCCCTGCGGAATTGAACAAAAAATAAAGTATACTGTATACAAGAAATACCCACGCTTCACTTCGGCCCTTGACTCTTCATCAAGCAAAATAATATTTCATTGTACAGTGTATAGCTACAATATGTTTCAATTCACCGGGATGAATGTAGCCCTAATATGAGGTAGGTACACCGGGGGTCAGCGTTAGGCACAGCAGGGAGCGGGTGTATGCAAAGCTGGGAGCACCACTTTGGAACCCAATATCGCTCAAACACGCGAAGGTGGTTAATCTCATCAATTGGGGTTTGTATCAAGGCGGATGAGGATGGTAGCATCCAGCGTCTCACCACTCACCCACTACGTTCTAACAATTGTCTCCACTGACTTTTCTCCCTCCTGCCATTCATTTTATGCCAGTGATTAAATCTTGCTACCTGCCCCCACACTTGTTCTGATATACTGTGCTGCAGCGTCCATGGTCATTCAGAGTGCCACTGTACTCAGCAGGTGCTCTTCCCGAACCCGAGCCAGCTTCGAAATGTTAAAGACTCACTAGTACTATTACACTTGATATCCCCAGAGGAGACCAGCAAATATTGTGCAAAACTTTCGAGAGCCGACGGGGGATTCAAGTGGACGATAGGAGGAGGTATGTTGAGCAGTTATAGGAATAATGTTCCCATGCAGGATTTCAACTCAAGTCACTGGATACTGTATCATTTGTGACCAGATTTTCATTCAACTTCAACCAGTCACGGCGGCGGTTGAATTGAGCATCAATAAGCTCTGAACAAAAATTCCTTATACGCGGCACATGTGGACATTAGGATCCTTCCGGACCCACAAGTGAACAAATATATACATTCCCATTCTCCGAAGCCTAGATAGACCAGTCCGGCGCTGGAACTTTCCATTTTGTTTACCTTCATTCACTGCGGGAACTCAAAAAGTCTGGGTCTGGATTGGGACGGAGTTGGGCTGACTGCCTGTCTGTCTGAGATCGTGGTGCACACGGGAATGTTCATAATTCGGTCCCCATCAGCCCTGTCCACGTCAGGAAAGTCAATATAATCGTGTCCGGAGGCTAGATTTGACCTCTTCTCCGTTGTCCGGCAGAGCACGAATACCTATCTGGGTTTCTCCCTCTTTATAAAATTACGCCTGTCTGTCTGTCCGAAGCTTTTTAAGCTCCGCTGAATCTCCGCTGATGCCGCCCGCCATGGCAGTCCGCCGCCCTTGATCGTGCTCTCTCTTTCCCGCCGGCCCACGGGCAATCAATCATTCGGCATCCCGGAACTTGACGTCACCCTTCTCACATACTTTGACAGACACTGCCCCGGCGCTAACATTGACAGATCTCTCCCACCGCACCGAAACAAAGGCGGCCGCGGCGAACAGGTCCCTTCTGATGCAGTGTAGTCAGTGTCATTACGGCTGGAAAGATGATCCATTCCTGGAGCAATATTGATTGGAAAACTGTGCACAATCCGATGAGGTCAAGCCGACAATAAAAATTCCGGTAGGCATAATTTTTTCAAATAGGGAGATAATTTTTTTTGGTGTCCCAATGAAGGGGGATGGAGTGTTGTGCTTCTGTGTTATTTGTTATTAGCCAAGTTCAGATAATTTATTTTGCTCCTCGACTGTCAGCGCCGAATCTTCAATTGCTTCGTTCACCTATGGCTCTTTGCAGACTTGGCAGTGAATAATATCCAACTCAACTCAGCTCAATTCAACCAAGTGCAACTTGACTATGAATGGTGTGTTGCTCCCAATCACCCCCCTATGACTTTGTTAAATGCACAAAAGGGATGGGAGGCCGCGAAGCGGCCGACCAGTCCCTTGTAGTCATAACAAATGTGATGCGCCATCAATCAGTAGCGCGTGTGTCTGCGAGACGGGGTTCGATTCCCCGCTGGTACATGAACAAGTTGGGGATTTCTTTTTTCTCCCGTACTCGGCACTGGTCAATCGCGGACTGGTATTTTGTAAGTAGGTTATATGATTATTTGGCCCGCCCGCAAGAGTGGATTGAAAATAAGAAGGTGCTGCACAGAATGCATTGCCGATGATGCACCTCACCGGGGCCTTTCTTTGTCAAGCTGTCTTGATTCTGGAACAAAAGCAGTACATGCGCCTAAATCACGAGGTCCGAAATGCTAGAAGAAAGCACTGGTGGTGTATGGTACACGTGCCATCCCTGTAAACGGTAAGGCAGCGCGTTTATCGCCGAGACAGGGTTCTAAGGTTTGTTGTGAATTTTTGCTCCCGCACTCGGCACTGGCTAGGCAGACTGGTCCGTATGCAGATTGTCTGATTTTTTCTCCCGTCCGTGCGAGGGAATTGAAAACAGAAAAGCGGGACGGAACGTAGTGGTATTTGCCAGTGGGTGGTTGCCCGCTGAATTCTTCGTCGCGGAATATTTATTCCCGTTCAACTCTCTTGTTGGCCCTTTACTCTCTCTACATTTGGGCTTCGGGATTCGAAACGGACCGCGAGGTGAATCCAGTAAACGCAGCACACCACGGGCGGTGCAGGGAGCACACAGCGGAGCGGATAATCCACTACATACTTTACAAAATTCAATTCCCGCTCATACATTCGTGGATTCTCCCCCATGTTTTTTTATCAAAAATGCCGTGTGTCTAACGAGGTTCAAAGTAGTAAGAGAAAGCACCAGTGGTGTACGGTACACGCGCCGTTCCTGTGTGATATCGTAATGCGTTTATCGGCGAGACGGGGTTCGATTCCCCGCTGGTGCATAAAAGTTTAGGGCCTCCGGTTTTTTATCTCGCACTCGGCACTGGTATGTAGTCTGCCTGATCTCTGTGCGCATTCGCAAGGGGACTGTGGGAGGCCTCTCAGAAAAAGGTCGGACAGAACATATTAATATTTGCCAGTGGGCTGAACTCTTCTTCGAGGGATATTTATTCCCGGTTCAACTCCCTCGCTCTACACCATTCAACTCTCCCTGACCTATCCACCATTCTGATCGACCGCCATTCGGGATTGGGAACTGATATTTATTCATCTTCCCTATGTATTGGTGCTGATATTGGAGTCTGAGGAGACTCGGAGGAGAAGCCACAAAAAAGAGAAGAGACGGTTGACCCTGCGACTAAAATTCCTGTGCGTGAATTTATCCGCGAGTATATATGCTTGAAACGCGCGCAGACCCGGATTTAATGGACCCCGGGACCGTGCGTCCACGTTCAGCTTCTCAGCCTGCTTCTCACAACTTTCGGCCGACGATCGGAATCGGAAGGCGGGTCCGAACTCCGAAATCAAATGCTTTTCCGACAACGCGGCATGTGAGCATCTTCCCATTTCTTTTTGACGGCCACACTCGTCTTCACCGTACCGCGGCCCGTCTTCGAACATCCAAGGCTCTGCGCACGACACGATGGCAATGGATTGGATACACTGAGTGATGACGGTGGCGTTCGCTGCACGCCCGCCCTTCAATGCCACACCCGCGCCCACATCCACCGTGCGTCCGCTTCTCTTTCCCTCGTATCGTGTCACACCTTACTTCTAGCCCAGCTCTGCCTTTACCACTACACCGCTCGCGCCTCCAAGTAACTTCCCCGTCGTCCACGGATTTACGCCACCGCCTACACGTGTATGCGAACCCGCCTGCCATCCGTGCCCGCAGACATCTCTCCGTAGTCGCCGCCGCTGCGCAGATGCGCATATCGCAGCCCGCGATGCCTGTATGCAATGCACTGCACTACGCGCGCTCCCCCTTTGTTCCTGGAGCACAGGCACGGCATATCCGCTCTCCCGTCTGCGCCCGTTCCTCCTCTGTCCGTGGCCACGCTCCACCTGCGTCTGTGTTTGCACCCGCAGTCCACTATTCAGCGTTTGACGCCGCGGTTTATAGTCGAGTCAGCTCGCACGCCCGGAGGTGCATCTCGGCGAATACGCCCGCCGCTTACATATCCACCGCTCGTGCGCACAGCTCGCATAAATCTCGCTCGTAGCCCGGAAATGGATCCGCTGCGTGCTGAGTGGCTCTAGCACGCGGCATCCCCGGCGGATACACAAGCAAAGTAGAGCGGGAATGGGAAGGAGACTGCGCTGTGGGGTTGGCAGGCGGAGCGCGAGGAGTACGCGCAGTGGTGCCGGAAGCATCGGCGGGATGCGCATGGGGAGAACGCGTCCTGGGCTGCAGTCGACGCCGCTGCGCCGGCATTCGTTCCATGCACACCTACATCCGCTCCCGCGCAGCGTCGATACGCGCACGCGTGCCTCTACGCTCGTACTGGATGGCTCGCCCGCGCCTGCGCTCGTACTCGGATTGCCGCGCCCGCCGCGCACTCTGTCGGCAATCGCTGCATATTCGCTCCCCCTGCGCCCGTATGACGGCTACGCGGTCAATGGATACGTGCGTTTGCGCCTCCGGTTGGCGCGTCATGCGTATGTCCGCGGCGCGTGTACATGCCCGATCCGCTGCGCGTGAAAGTGGAGAGCTGGAGTGCGTGTGAGAGGAGAACCCGGGAGGAGGGGGAAAGCGGGAGGAGCGCGCGTTGCAAGGGCAGGAGTGGGTGGGGCAGCGAGAGAGCATGCGGGAGGAGCATGAACGTGTGCAGCTGGCGCCAGGCCCTGCGGAGGGAGGGAGAGGGTGGAGGAAAACACGCGGGGGGCGTGGAGATAGAGTTGGGAGGAGGAGGATAGTAGGTGGAGAACGCGTGCGGTCACCGTCGTATGTGGACGAGTGAGGGATGCGGAGGAGGATGAGCGGGTGCGCGTCCCGCGAGTCGCGATCGGCGGTTCAGCCGCTCCGCACTGCGTGTATTTGTGTCAGAGGCGTCGTGCCCGCGAGCCCGCGGTGGGTGTGCACGATGTGGAGGGCGGTCGTGCGGTAGCCGGGACCGGGAATTGAGCTGCGCGTATGGTGTGGCGCGCCGCCCCCGTTGCCGCGCTGCTCTTGTTCAGTTGTGGAGGACGTCAATCCCGCGAGAGATGTGGCCGCAGGCGTTGCGCGGTCGGTGTGGATTTTAAGTGTTCCGCCGGCGCCTCGCTCTGTCACTTTTCCTCGCTGCAGCGGCTCCTCAGGTCGCCGCATGCACGCCCGTCTATCCCGCGTGCGTGATTCTTCAGACGGACGGGTTCGTTTGTTTCTTCATTTCTCGGATTCGAATCTCTGGCCTCCATCTGATATGTCATCGTGTCCGCGACATACTACTTTCCGCGGACGTTACATGCTTAGCCTTGTCTAGAGCGCGTGTATTCTTACTCGTCCTTGCAGCATAGTTCTCGAATGGTAGTAGTATCAAATATATTGGAGTGAATTCCGAGCCTGCCGGGAGGTTGACATTGATGAATATGTTGATTCACTGCGTTCAGCGGACGGATACATAGCCGCAGCACCGCCGAGCCAGAGATAGCCGGAGGTGCCGTCTAGATGCCGCTAGCTGGTCTAGCCACGTGCGGCTAGGGCTTGCCCATCGTCTAGCGTCAGGTAGCGGGGCTTGGCGAGGTTCGGCGGGTGGGCTAGCCGAGGGCTAGCCGCAGGGCGGCTATGCGGCCTCGCCATGACCTCGCAACATCTAATCAGACCGTGGCTATACGACCCTGGCTAGGCGACCATCAACATCTAGGCTAAACATAGCCAGACGTAGCAACATCTAGCCGAACCCGCGGCTATCAACCCGCTCAACGCAGTGATTGTGATACGAGGGTGAGCAGAATGGTGTCTTTCATTGCACCCACAAATAATTCTCGCCAGATACCCAGTTTGTTCATTGAGCGGCGCTGGTATTAATGGGCGTTGGGCGCAAGACGAAGCGCACGCGGGGCCGGAAAGAGCAGTCGCACGTGCATGTAACGGCACGAGTCTGGAGGCTCTAGCGTGGCACGCTCGAGGATTCGGATTGCTTATTGGATCAGTGGGTGCTCCGCGTAGCCTGGGCAATGAATTTATCCTGAATCACCCTTCCCTGAATGAATCTCTTTCCCTCAGTTAGGGCTGCTGACCCGAACCGTATTAGACGGCTCTACGGCAACCCGTAAACCGTCGACCGTACCGTCCCGGTATGCCCTCGAGCCTTTTATTCGACGGGACGGGTAGTGCCGCACCGTATACCGTAATACCCGTCAAAAATACGGCCGCATTTCCGTATATACGGCACGTATACGGCTTTCCAAAACCGCACGAGAATTGTTGTGAATGATGTTCGATCAACGGAATATGGCGAGTGATTCAAACCCCGACGATGCTGCTCACGGCGACACGATCGATCACTTTTGTTTTTGACCGTCATCATACAGCAAAGTCGAGCTCTCCAAACCCTGCATTCCATTCAATTGGAAAACCTTTAGATACCTGGGACCTGGACTCATCTGTGACTTCCTTTATGCTACTGGGACGTGCCCGATCCACCAGATTCTGCCTTGATTTCTGAAATCTACCCTGGCTTAATATCCCCGCAATTCTTGGACGTCCGTGCGAATTGGGAGGCTGGACGAGTCATTGTACCCGCACCAACGTCAATTTCTCGCCGTAACCCCGACGCAATTGTGACTCTTGTCGTCGGTTATTAGCGCTATAGCTCTCATTGGTCCCGCCCGTAAGTCCCCACCCACCCAAGTTACTCAATCAAGAACGCGTCGGACTGTTCCCGAGCCGAGCTATTCAATAAACGGAATTTCCCGTTTTTTTTCCCGTCGAGGCTTCGATTTGTGTGATCCTATCGAGTGGTGGCTTGGACGTCGTCGTGCCAAGTTCTTAACCTCTTCTGCCTTGCACACAATATTTTGGTGAGTTATTATTGTCTTCGACCTTTCTCTTACTTACTTACTTTCACAATTTTACAGGCTCTGTCGTTGCGGTTGAACACATCTTCTCTGGCGGCTGCGACAGCATTTCTCTCTGGCGAGCCAGCTTGAAGCCGGAGACCATTATGTCCGTACCTTGATGATTGTGAAGCAGCGCCTTCGCTTTGCACGGCTGGCTGTCCAGGAGGTAAGGTAGGCGACAAGCACTCACAACCTACGTCCAGTCACATCACGTCACATGTCCAAATATAGGCAAAAAGACGAAACAAATCCACAGGATATTACAGAGGGCGTGTATCGCAAATCTAGCTCCAAAATTTTGTAGATACAGCTCCTCTCTACCTCTGTATCAAATTTGCTACATATTTTTTCGAGAACTGAGAGACTAGATACACTTTTCATGAAGCAGGTCAATATCACCGGAGTTGGAGTGTTTAGTGAGGTCTGTAGAGTTCTGCAAGCCTCAATTATTTCACTGTGGATACATATTGGTTGGTTGAACCATATACTAGGCTGTTATGGGAGCAGGGACATGGATATCCATAATTGAATAAAGCTGCTCTCGTGCCATGAACGGTCTCGATCTACTATGCATGGAGAGGAGGTCTGGAACCTCATTGAATCTATTGATTAGACTCATGCCTTGCATCTAAGATCCTCAGTACACTTCCTTGAAGTCCATTGGGCTCGCGACGCGGTTGTCTGTCCATATATATGTGAAAATTGATTAATGATGTATCTAGATATTTACCACACATTTTTGCCCAAAGTTGACTATCTCAGCTTAAAGCAGTATGATGTCTTCACATAATGTTGGGGCCAGATTTTTGAGATTGGGTCCAGTTATTATTTGGCGGATTTTTTCAAGGTTTTTGCCTATATTTGGACGTGTCACGCTCGCTTACATAAACGTTGGCTTGTCGCCTACCTTATCTAGCGTGCATGTAACATCTTTTAACCACGAGTTTATTTTTACTTTCAC